CGGCATGATGCCACAAGTATGCAAAACACAGTCTCAGTGGCGGGACATCAGGTTATCAGGAACCTAAGTGAACCTTAAGAATTCACTTTGATGCATTTGGATACATCTGCGGATTATATGAGGCAGGTAGAGCCACGCACTGAGTGAAGTGCTGCGCGAGCGTTGATAACAACGGGTGGCCCTCGACTAAAGAAACTTCATGGGCGCTACGTGGAGGTCTATGGACCATACCAAGTGATGTTGAATGTAGATGGGATCAGTATCTATACCAGGACCTACGCCACAACATATAGTGACCAAAAAGGGCAGATCTATATGGGTCAAGAAGAACTTAAGGTCCGTAGAATCGGCCATGACTCCATGATGGAGCAAAATGGGGTACACATAGGATACGAAGCAGATGTGACTGCACATCTGCTAGACACAAATGGAAAAAAATTGGAGTAACAGGACTTCTAGATACAGGAGCAGTGGTTTCTGTTAGGCCGGTAAAAACTTGGGACTGAATGGGCTTCAGGAGGGAATACTTAATTCGACAAACCTCATATTGGCAGCAGCCAACCGCGGACGGATCTACGTAGCCGGGAGAACACTGATAACAGTCCTTCACATGGCAGGACGGGACCTTTGGATGAGTTTTCTGGTAGTAGAGAATCTGGACGACTCAGACCAATTCATCTTTGGCCGCGACTTTGTCTGGAAATTTGATATGATGATCGAACAGAACAATGAACTAAAAAGGATTAGAAACCCGGAAAAGTAACACTACAGCACGGACAAGCAGTAGTAGCGATTTGTAGGATAAAAAATTTAAACTCAGTAAGTGATAAAAAACAGGTTTTCTTGGTGCCTAACGCAAAACAGTCAGTTTTGACGTGAAGATTGACATAAACAACGGTCTAATAAGAATTAGAAACCCGGATCGGAAGTATTTTAAGAAACCAATTAATAGAATAATAACAGACGAAATCAAGCTACCATTTTTTTTAGACAGAAAAGTAAAACTACAGCCGGGACAAGCAGTAGTAGCAATTTTTAGAATGAGAAATTTGAATTCGTTAAGTGATAGTAAACAGGTTTGCTTAGCACCGAATTCAAATAGTCAGAGTTCGGTGATTTTAGGCCGGAGCTTCTCGGTAACGCGAAACTGACTGTGTGTCAGTGTGTTATTGAACACACTGGACACAACGGTTTCAATCCAGCGTGGAAAGAAGCTTGGTTACGCTTTGCCGATGAGGACCGACTATGAAGAGACACAAAACTTGAAGAAACATAGTGTGAAAGACTGATCTTATCATGCCAATAAAGATAAAGCTTTAAAAAGGATTGATGAATTAAAATCTATTCATAAATTGTTTTCAATGAAGTCCGACACGGACGACGGCTTATCGAGCTGCTCGAATTTTCCGAACGTCCCTCGTCATTTGAACTAGAATCTGACAAACCGTTTTTGCCAGAGATAGAACACTTAAAAGGGAAAATAGGCGAGGGAGATTTTGAATTATTTCGGGAGGTTTTAAATCGGAACGCGGATGTATTTTCAAAACATAAGGCAGATATCGGTTGCTGTAACTTCATCGAACACGAAATCGAACTAGAGGAAGGCGCCGTTCCCCACAGAGAAGGCGCAAGACGAATGACGCCACATAAGTCGGAAGCGTGCCGAGCGGAGATCGAAATAATGCTCGAATCTGACATGATAGAACCCTCGAAATCGCCGTGGGCTTGCGGGGTGGTAATGGCGAAAAAGAAAGGGGGCAGCTCAGGTTTTGTTGCGACTTTCGCTACTTGAACGCGGTGACAATAAAAGATGCGTACCCGATACCGCGAATAGACGAGAGCCTCTCTAAACTTGGTGATGCCAAATCTTCACCACAATAAACTTGGGTTCTGCCTTCTGGCAGGTCCCTCTGCCGAAGAAGGATAGAGAAAAGACAGGATTCGCGTGCGAATTGGGGTTGTACCAGTGGAAGAGGATGCCCTTCGGCTTGTGCAATGCAACGGCCACTTTTCAAAGGTTGATGGCTCAGGCTTTGACCAGAGTAACGAAGAAGTACGGAAACCTTGTGATGTGGTACGTGGATGTCGTGGTCATAGCAACACCCACCTTGGCAGATCACATCGATAGACCACTTTGGCGACCACTTGGCAGACCACTTGATGAGGTCTTCGATTGTTTGAAAAGAGGGCTTGAAATGCAAACCATCGAAATGTGGAATCCTTATGGTTCCAACCAAGTAGCTGGGGAGAATGATAGACAGGCATGGCGTGAGGCCGGATCCGAAAGTAGTGGAGGTAGTGTTAACATCATGGCATTCAGATCAGACACACAGCTCATGAGCTTCCTGGGATTTTCGAATTACTACCGTGAGTTCATAAAAGGATATGCAGACAAGGTGTACCCCATGCAGCAACTGATGCACAACAAAGGAAAGAAGTTAGAGTGGAACGAAAAAGCTCATGCAACCTTCGAGAATATAAAGCGGGAACTGTGCGAGTCGCCAGTGCTAGGCATGCCCACAGAGAAGGGCATGTACGTTCTCGACACTGATGCTTCAGTAGTAGCCATCTCAGGAATACTGCATCAGAAGCAGGAATGGAATGGGAGAGCAGTTCTCCGTCCCAGTGCATATGGCAGTAAAGTGTTGAGTGACACTGAAGTGAAATATGGTGCACCGAAATCAGAAATGTTTGCAGTAGTCACATTCGTGGAAAAAGTACCGCGCATATTTGGGGAGCGCTCCCTTTAAGTTTCGCGTGGACAACAGAGCGTTATCCTGATTGAAGACGTACTCGATGGACCAGAGCTATATTGGTCGGTGGATAGTCAGGTTAGATGGCTACCACATGATAATCGCGCACAGGATGCGTGACAAACACCAAAATGCTGACAATCTCAGCAGAAAGCCTGAATTTTACGAGAATCTAGAAGGAAAGCAAGCCAATCACGAGAGACTAGAAGAAAATCAAGGCGAGAAATTTGATGAAGACGTCAAATAAACGAAACGAACAAGAGATCGGAACACAAAGGAAGACCGTAACCTTTGGGGATCCCGATCGAAAATGGGGGAAGCTGAACAAAACCTGGAGCAAGGAAGTTTTTCCGGGGAGAAGGAAGTTGAAGAAAGTTGGCGAGTTAATGATTAAAACCCGGAAGAAGAAAGTTTGTCCTGGGTGTCGGGTGTTGAAGAAAATGGTCGTGATGAGGAACAAGAGGATAAAATTCTGTCCGGGGAGCTTAGATGGGTGAGCAGAACATACAAGTCGGAACCTGCTCCGTGGCAGACTCACCCGTTGACAACCGCACGAGGGTTTCAGAAATCGATACCTACTCAGACAGGAACTCGATCTCAGGATCGGAATTGTCAGAATTGGAGATCCATACGTTGCTTATGGAGACTCGATCAAGAGACTTCGACAGGGAAGTATATCAGGACTCTAACAGTGATCGCTACCTGGTACCCAAGGAAAGAGTCTTTGACAACGCAGCGGATGATCTGGAAACAATAGCGGTATCGAAGCGTTCGATGAGCTTGTTAACGCAGAAGGAAGCAGTCAGGACTGACCATCAACCGTTCAGACAAGAGACAGAGCCGTTGGCAAAAATTTGGTGCGTGAAGATGCAAGATGTCGCACATCAGCCCGATGATCTGAGTAAACAATTGAGGGGGATGAAGACATACTTGAAGGCGAGATACAGACTCTCGGACCTCAAGAGCGCAACAAAATGACCGCATGACGAGCAACTTGAATAGGTGGATCGAGAATGGAGCACCGGATATAGGTGATCTGGAAAAAAAACAGTTATCGTATTCTG